ACCCCCGCCTGTCCAGCCCCCTGTGCCAAGAGCGGCAGCACCATCGAGCTGGTGTGCTTGTCGGTGCTTAAAAATCCCCGGCTGCTGCGCAGCTCGGTCATGCCACCAAGGGAGGCCTCAGAGTGCACAAGGGAAGCCATTCAAAATGTTAATAAGCTTATTAAAATAAGCGGCTTTACTGGCTCTTGTTTTACAGCGGGCTGCCCACCGTTGCTTTCTGGTGGACTAAGGGAGAGAAAACACTTGTGGTATTAATTTTTTTTTCTTAAGGTGTTACATTTTCCATCGAAGGACAGGGGACTCTCTGGAGCTCAGCAAGGCCACAGAAGCAGAATAGCCTCAGGTCTCCTCCCTCCCAAGCTTGGTGGGTGGGGAAAAGTCCTTGCAGAGAAAAAGCTGGACTTTTCAAAACTGCTGACCACCCAGGCTGGGGAAGCAGATAAAGGAGGCCCAGAGATAATGACTTTGGGGAGGCCTGTAGATGGCACTTTGGGGGACCCAAATTCTTTTAAAAAATACCCCCCCCCAAAAAAACTGCTCACAAAGGGCATGGCATTATTTAAAGTAAAAAGTAGAAAGGTTCTGTCCTTGCTTCCACTCCAAGCCAGGGGTGAGTGTAGACCCCAAACACTACCTAGAAGTCTTAAGGAGCATCTCACAACTTTCGTTTTGTTCCTTCTTTTTATTTTTTAAAATAGAGATTCTGAGAAGAGAATCAATTGCCTAAGATTCATCAAGTGAGCGGAAGAGCTACTTCCCACCTATGGACTCCAGGCCTGGAGCAGAATCACTTTGTGGATCTACGGGGCCACTGAGCGTGATTCGACCACTTCCCACCCTCGAGTGTGCAGGCTGGAGAGAAAAGCTCTCACCTTGTGCATCCCGAATTTCCAGGGCCGGGTTTCCCTAAGTGCGGGGGCGCATGTCCAAGTCACAGAGAGGGCTGCTCAGCCCGGAGGCCTGAATGTGAGGCTGCCTGGCGGGGACGGAAAGGACTCACCAAGAAGCCCCGAGGCCTGCGCAACCCCGGCGCTGGATCCTCGCGCCAGAAGCTAAAGCTGCAACTGCAGAAACAGCAGAGAGGGATGCAGGAGCTCGCTGGAGGCCGTGAGGCCTGTGCAGAGACCACGCTCTCTTGGCTCGGCGGAGCGCTAACCGCGGGACTGCGGGGCCGCACCCGGGACTGTGGGCGGGGGCACCGAGGGAGGAAGCCCGGGCGCTTGTAGGAGGGAGAGTGGAGGAGAGCGCGGGCCTTGCGCCGGAGAGTGTGTCCCGCACACCCAGGCAAGCAAGGAGGAAACGTTTGAGCCCAGGAGCAGGAGCGAGCTTACCTCTCCAGAGGCTCCGGAGGGACGCCCGTCTCCCACAGCTACCTTTCAACTTGGCATTCCAACAGGAACAGAGAGGTGCTGTTGCCTGTGCCCCGGGTTCCGGGTCAGCTCTGGTCCGTCGGAAGGCACGCTTCTGCCTTTCCTGGCCTGACTTACTGCAAAAAGCTGCAACAGGAACCAGAGAGCTTCAGGAGGGGTGCGGGGCTGCAGGGCCGTTCGCCCAGTTCTTACAGTCGTGAATTGCCCTCAATTTGGACTTTCTCACGTTTCCTTCATAGGAGGCACAGCCTCAGATACACCCAACAGATTTAAAAGAAGTTCACCGTTCAGCTTAACCGGGACCCCACACCGGACCACCCATGCTTGTAGGGCCCTGGGACTCAATCTTCTTTTAAAATGCTTTAATGATTTGAACAGCCCAATTTATGCTGAATAACTTCTATGTGTGACTACAGAAAAAAATTAATTTATTACATGATGTAACCGTTTACAATATAACACACGTTTTGCAACCCTGTTTTGGCATTTCTTCATTGTAAAAACATATTTATCAGGAGATTCGAAAACTGGAGGTGGCCCAGGGTCTCTGCCTCTTGGAGGGCCCCTTCTCTGGGCACACCACAGAGCACTTGGAAAACTTTGAAGAATGTAGGAGTCCAAGGAAGATTGTTTCAGACCAGCCAACTCAGCATTACCCAGAAATTCATAATAATCATTATGGCAACAGTAATAGTAAGTCCACACCAGCTGCACACTGCTTAATGGTTTTCAAAGCACATCCACCCCTCTGTGATCTAGCCACGCCAAAGCCAAACCTAGGGGATGCTAGCTCTGAAAGACTAAAATGCACTCCTAAGCCGCTGCCTCACATCCTAAAATATGCTCCTAAGCTTTGAATGACCCTGACTTGGCCTCTGAATGGCCTGTGACTTTGGGCAAGTCACATTGTCTTTTTGAGCCTCAGTTTCTCCATCTGCAAAATGGAGTTTGTGTCCACAAAGCCAGGGCAGCCTCAGGGGACGGCTGTGGGACAGCATGCAGAAGCACTTTTCCACATGTAATGAATGCCCCTGACAAACAAATGCAGTTATAGTTATTATTATCATTGGTGGTGGTGGAGGTGTGTATTGTTTAACTGCTCCCTCGAGCCTCTGCCTGTGCTTCCTTCATGGCTCTGAGTGTGATTTTTCACCAGTGGCCATGACTTCTGCAGCAGCCACACAACACTGACTGGTACATCTGCCTTGCCGCCCTCAGTGCTTTCGAATATTTGCTGTGTCTGGTAGACATCATGCAGCTCTGTGTGGTTCCCAGTGGAGACTCAGGAGGGTGAGGCTGGAGGCTCGCAAGACTGAATCCCTGCGGCCTCTTGCCTGGGGCCTGGGCCCCAGCTCAGGTCTGTCTCTCTCTCCCCTCTTCTCTTTTCTGCCCAGGAGCTGCTCAGCTAGTTTTCTGGTTCGGGGAAGTGTGTGATTCGCTCTGATGCTCAGGCTCCGGAGGTGGCGGCTTTCCCTAATGCAGGCGGCTTTCTGAAGAGCGAGGTGAACTCCGTGGACTTGAGGGAGGCCAGATTCTACCTTTTTCTGGGTGTTGAAATGTGCATGGAGTCTCCGCCTGGCCAGACTGAGCTCTGGTGGCCAGTTAGGGTCCTGATCCTGCAGACATCTGCAGGCTTTGGATGAGGTCCTGTCTCCAAGGGACGCTTGGTGTGGCTCTGCCCGTTTCCGCTCCCTCAGACGCCACCTCTCCTCAGGCCCAGCTTCTCTGGTTAGGCTACCACTAAGCTGCCTCTCAGCGGCACATGGATGTCCTGTTCGAGCTCTCCTCCGACCTTCTTGGTTGAAGTCAGATTCACTGTCACCTCTATCCTTTGCTAGAGTGGAGGAGTGAGGATTTGCTGGGGCCCGGAAGCCATTTGTTTTCTGAAATGGAATCTAACCCCAAACTCCCCCTGCTTGGCCCAGCTCTTTCCGAGATATTCTCCCAGGGTCCATGAACTCCTCAAATCAAGTCGCTGTGAGTGAGACACAGCTTGTGATCTCTATGGTCAACAGGCCCTGGAGTTAGTGTT